CACCTGCCCGTCCACCCACCCCTGGCACTCACTGGGCTTTTCTTTTCCTCTCTTCTGCTTGACTGCTGCCTGGCAGTCTCCCCCAAGAACTTTAAGGTGAAGATGATCATGAAGACATCAGTCCTGCTCAGCTGGGAGTTCCCTGATAACTACAACTCACCTACACCCTACAAGGTGTGGCCACCTGGCAGGCCAGTGGGCTGGGTCAGGTTTTGCTGCTCAGCCAGGGTTGGGGCTTGGTTTGGAGTCAAGGCTTATTGGGGTGTGGTGGGGTTCAGCTGGACTCAGCTGAGTGGGATCAGGCTTCATTGGGGATTAAGGCTCAGTCTGGGTTTGGGCTCAGTTTGGGATTAGGACTCACGTCTGGGACTCAGGGCTCAACAGGAATTGAGGCCCAATCTGGGCTCAAGATATAACCTGGGATCAGGGATCAGTCTGGGCTGGGGCTCATTCCGGGATTAGGGCTCAGTTAAAGTTGGGAAGCAGCTGGGACTGAAGCTCTGTCAGGAGTTAGGGCTTAGTTTTAGTATTTGGGCTCAGTCATGATTGGGACTCAGAGTTGGGGCTCAGCTGGGGTTAAGACTCAGTCTGGGGTTGGAGTTCACTCTGGGATTAGGTCTCAAAGTTGGGACTCAGCTGGGATTAAGGCTTAATCTGGGATTAGGGCTCAGTAAGGATTGGGACTCAAATCAGAATTGGGACTCAGCTGAGATAAGGCTCAGTCTGGGATCAGTTCAGCAGGGCTGAGTCTAGGATCGAGGCTTAGTCAGGGTTGGGGGTCAGCCCAGACCCTACTAAGCCAGCCCTGGCCCACAGATCCAGTACAATGGGCTCACACTAGACGTGGATGGCCGCACCACCAAGAAGCTCATCACGCATCTCAAGCCCAACACCTTCTACAACTTTGTGTTGACCAACCGTGGCAGTAGCTTGGGCGGCCTCCAGCAGACAGTCACTGCCTGGACTGCCTTCAATCTGCTCAGCAGCAAGCCCAGCGTGGCCCCCAAGCCCAACACTGATGGCTTCATCATGGTGTATCTTCCTGACGGCCAGAGCCCCGTGCCCATCCAGTATGCTTGACATCCCCAACCCCCAGGATTCCTCTCATCGCCCATTAGCCAGCTGTGTGACTCTCCAGCCACTTGACCTTTCTGTGCCTCAGTTTCCTCACCTGTCTATAAAATGGGGATTATATTAGCCCCATCGAGTGTGGTTCCCCTGAAGGTCCAGTGAGTCTCATGGGAATAGTCAGTCACTAAATGTGGCTTTGTGTTTGCTTCTCCAGCATTTTCTGACATCCCTGTGTGCCTGACCTTCTACTTGTTTGGGGTTCTAAGATTGTTGGGGAGACAACTATACACAGATTCTTGACCCCTTGGTGTGGCAATAAGAGGCAGAGAAGAATTCAGGGCTTTAAAAATCTCTGGGCATGGAAGCTGGGGCTTTGAAGGGTGTGTAGGAATTCAGAAATTGTAATTGAATGGGATAGGCTTTCTAGGCATAAGGCACAGTGTAATCAAAGGCCTGGAGGTTTAAATATGGCTGGGGCTGTAGGGCAATAGACCCCATTATATGAGCAGAAGGGAAAATTCAGAAAGGGAGGCTCCCCACTCACCCCTAGACAGCATCTCTGTCTGGTCATGCCTATAGACAGCCTCCCTCTGACTCTTCGTCTTGTGACAGGAGTTACTTCATTGTGATGGTACCGCTGCGCAAGTCTCGTGGTGGCCAGTTCCTGACCCCACTGGGCAGCCCAGAGGACATGGACCTGGAAGAGGTAAGGGCTAGCGCCCAACCTGCAAGGAACAGACACATCGCAGCTGTCATGAGCCCAGTTGATCCCAGCCGTGCTCTGAGCAACCCACACCTGTTTCCATAGCTTATCCAGGACATATCCCGGCTGCAGAGGCGCAGCCTGCGGCATTCGCGGCAGCTCGAGGTGCCCCGGCCCTACATCGCAGCTCGCTTCTCCATGTTGCCATCCACTTTCCAGCCCGGTGACCAGAAGCAGTATGGTGGCTTTGACAACAGAGGCCTGGAGCCTGGCCACCGATATGTTCTCTTTGTGCTTGCTGTGCTGCAGAAGAGCGAGCCCGTAAGTCCCAAGTGATGTCTGCCCACATCCAGCCGTACCCCCTGAGTGAGGCAGGCCTCAAAGTGACCTCAGCCCTCAGGGCCCTGACCTCAGACCCAGACACAGATCCTCCCAGCTTCATGGGCAGAGGGAAGGACTTAAAGCTGCGGGAATCCCAAGGGGAAAGCGTTTTAGAGGAACTTGGGAATTGGGGCTGGACGTGTAGGAATCCAATAAAAAAGAAGGCACCCCAGGATTCTCATGTGCAAAGGTCTAGTGGTACAAGAGGAACAGAAAGGATTTCAGAGTGGCCAATGCAGAACGGGAATGGGGGCAAATGCCAGTTGGCAAGGGCGAAGCCATGCAGGCTACCACGAGGGTCAGTTTTCTTAGAAGCCATAGGAGGGTTTAGAGTATGGGAGAGACTTAGATTTGTGTTTGAGGAAGACCCATCTGGCCTGTGTGAGGAGATGGACACTGATGGAGGCTCTCTCCACCCTGTTTGTGCAGACATTTGCAGCCAGTCCCTTCTCAGACCCCTTCCAGCTGGATAACCCAGATCCCCAGCCCATCGTGGACGGTGAGGAGGGGCTCATCTGGGTGATTGGGCCGGTGCTGGCTGTGGTCTTCATCATCTGCATCGTTATTGCCATCTTGCTCTACAAGAAGTGAGTCCCCTGCCTCCCCTGCTTGACAGAAGGGGAGTTTCCTGGAAAAGGAGGGTGTCTGGGGAAGGGTCAGCTCAGAAGGTCATCACGGGAGCCCTCTATGGTATAGGTAGGGAAATGGAGGCTCAGAGGATAAGCCCCTTGATCAAAGTCACACAGCTTGGGAAGTGGCAGGACTGGGTTTCACACCCAGCTAGTGATTTGACTCCTAAGCCCCACATTCCACTCAGTAAGATTTGGGGTAGAGTCTGTCTCTGTCTAGTTGAATGAAGATACTGCTTATAGTAGCCACATGGGGCCTGTTTCAGCTTAGAAAGGGAGGGTGGTGCACCCAGCAAAAAGGATTAGTCCAATTTTCTGGATGAGCCCAAGGCTCGGAGAGGTTAAGCAAGCCACCCCACCATCGCAGAACAGGCCCGTTATGGCTAGCACACCCTCACCGGTCTTCTTTTCCCTCCTCACCCATGTCTGCTTTTGGACGCAGCAAACCTGACAGGTAAGAACTGGCCCTGCCCTCTAGAGGCCCAAGGAGGCCGAGGAGGGAGAATGGAGTAGTGCTGAGTCTATGGGGCGGGGGATACCTGGCTGCTCCTGCATGCATGGCCCTGGGACCCCAATTGTGTGTATACAGTGTAAATACCATGCACAGTCCCTTTCCCACTGGCTGGGTTACACGTTCACGCTTCTTGGAGTGTGTTCACATGGGCATACACATCAGGCACATGCTGACACTCACTGATTCTTCCTCTTCCTCCTACAAAGTAAACGCAAGGACTCGGAACCCCGCACCAAATGCCTACTGAACAACGCTGACCTTGCCCCCCACCACCCCAAGGACCCTGTGGAAATGAGACGCATTAATTTCCAGACACCAGGTATGTCCTTATCCCAGGTGCCAGGGACAACACTGACAGGGAAGAGGAAACTGCCTCTTGGCAACCCTCATCTGCCTTGCCAAACTGTGCTTGGTGCATTTAAGGTCCTGATGCCCAAATTCCTGCATGGTTCCAGGCCTGGAGCTCTCGTGGATTGGTTCTGTTTACAACCAAATGAGGCTTTTGAAAACTTGCATTTAACTGGTGATTGCTGTCTTTAGTGGGGAGCTTGAAGGACATGTAAAAACCAAAAAACCCTCCTCATTTCTTCTGGTGGAAAGAGCTCTGCTTCTGTTCACACCTCTAGTCTTAAGATCTCTTGGCTTTTTCCCCACACTCCCCTGGGATGTGCCCCTAGCAAGACACTAATTACACCTCCCACATCCCTGTATCTCTCCCCTCCACAGCCACAGATGCTCATGCGCCTTCTGCCTCTAAACAGTTCCCTGTTAATTAATCAGGTGCAGCTTAAGGCACCTGCCATGCCCGGGGGAAACTGAATCAGGGTCTTGTCCTCGGTCATCTTCGTGTACAGTGAGCCACACACTCTCCCGTCTCCTCCCTCTTAATGGGCTCATGCTAACTGCTTCTCACCAAATAAGGAATTTTTAATGTAACTGATGGCTGCTGTTGTCCTTAACACGGTTACATCTGCCCCTCTGCCTGCCTCCACTTCCTGTATCTGAACTGGTTCATATTAACTCCGTTTCCAACCAAATAGAGATTTTAAACATTTGTATTTAGCTCATGGCTTCAGTCCTCAAGAGCTCACGTGCGATTCCTGATGGACTCCTTTCTCTTTTCTGCTGCTGGACTGTCTCATGTCAGTTCTGTTTTTATCCAAATGAGGATTTGGGGCCTTTGTATTTAACTGGTGGCTGCAGCCCTCCGTGGGGGTCATGAACGGTCTCATACGGCACCTCTAACGTACTCCCTTCTCTCATCTCTGTCAGTTGTTTCCATCCAAATGAGGATTTTAAACATGTGTGTAACTGATGGCTGCTGTCCTCTTCAAGTTCATGGCTGTGGCCCACATGTCCTCCCTCTGCCCCCAAGTTCTCCCTCACGATCCTGCATTCTCCAAAATCCCCGTTGACCCAGACGGGGGACCCAAGGCCAGATTAGTGTGGGGTGACGTAGACAGAAGAACCAAAAGCTTTGGGATCCTCCCAAAGTCATGGCTAAACAAACACCCGGCGAAGGAAACAGCAGCTACTCTAGGCCCAGCAGCCATGTCCCTCGTTGAAGTTGCTCTGCCCTGTGTGTCTGTTGGCAGGCCGCTGTGCGTGCACCCAGCAAGGGGTGGGGGGGGGTGGGCCCCCCGCGTGTTTTCATTTATTTATTGTTTGCTGTTTCTGCAGATTCAGGCCTCAGCAGCCCCCTCAGGGAGCCGGGGTTTCACTTTGAAAGTTAGTTCCTGTGTCTTTCTGTTCTCGGCTCCCTTCCCCACCCCACCCCTCGTTTGTTTTCATCTTTGGTTTCTCCATCCCGCCACCTATCTCTGCCCACCTGTCCTGCACTGGCTTCGGGGGGAAAGGGGGGTCTGGTCCATTGTGCCCTTAGGGTGCCAATTGTGATTATGCGTGTGGAGGGCAGGGACAGGGACGTAGGTGAGACACATATGCCTACCCATGTGACAGGCAGGGAGAACCACAAGGAAAATGGACACTAGCCTCAGACCCCACAGAGGTGGGCTCTTGGGGGACACCAGGGGGCCCCACTCAGAACAACAGTTGTTTACCAGCCAGCCTTGCAATGTTTGTCCCGTTTCATGCCCACTGCTACTTTCATGGCAGTACGCAGCTGCAGAGCACACGTGTAGCACCGGCCTGTGCGTGGAGAGGGGTCCGGCAGACCTGGATGTCAGGAAGAAAGAGCCAGATCCACGCCACTACCTCCAGTCACCCCCCTGGGGGTGCTAAAGATCAGGGCTGTCACCATTCTGTGTATCAGATGAGAAAACAGGCCCTCAGAGTCGGGCTCAGTGCACCTGCCCCATGCTGGTGCAGAGACAGATCCCTGCTAGGCCCTCTCAGCTCTTCCTGGCAGAGGACTTCCCAGGTCCTCTGATCCCAAAGGTGCAGAAAGGAATGTTTGTCTCCCACCCCAGGGAACAATGTTTTTAGAGGCCCAGCTAGCTGCCATCTGCTTCTTCATTTCTGTGTCACTCGCCTGCTTCCTGCCACGAGGCACTAGGAGCTTGAAGTGCTCCAGGGCAACCCTCTCCCTGCTGGGTTGGGGTTGGAGTGGGAGGACAGTGTGAAAAGGGGTGTCGGGCTTGGCCGGGAGCTGCAGCCTCTGATGCTCCACTCTCAGACCCTCAGGCCTAGGGTCCCCGCACCCGCCATGCCCTCTAACCACAGCTCGTCCATCGCAGACTCACACTGTAGAGCATCCCCACCCCACCCCAGCTTCTGGGCTGGCCCCCCCTGACCAGCCTGCACCGGCGGGGTCTGCTCTCCCCGCAGGCATGCTTAGCCACCCGCCGATCCCCATCTCAGACATGGCGGAGCACACGGAACGCCTCAAGGCTAACGACAGCCTCAAGCTCTCCCAGGAGTACGAGGTGAGCTGGACCCCACCTACCGCCCTCCTGGGCCCTCCCACGCCCACCCTGACACCTCCTACCTTCCTTCCCCTGCAGTCCATTGACCCGGGCCAGCAGTTCACCTGGGAGCATTCCAACCTGGAAGTGAACAAGCCCAAGAACCGTTATGCCAACGTTATCGCCTACGACCACTCCCGCGTCATCCTCCAGCCCATCGAAGGTAGCACGCGGGTCCCGGGCTCCATCCTGCCCTTCCTCGTTCCCCAGACAGCACACAGACCCCACGCTCCTCTCGGCCATGGGGCAGAGCCAAGCTAGGGGACAGATAGGGAAGAAACCCGATTCTGGTCTCAGGCCTGGTCCAGCACTAGCCAGAAACCACTGGGAATTTTTAGATGTGTATTTAACGGATGGCTGCTGTTACGTTTTTCTATCCATCACTCTATATCAGTCTTTCTCAACTCAAGCATTTCTGTCACCCAGGGACGTTTGACAGTGTCTGGGGAAGTTTTTGTGGTCACAAGTCAGAGGAGGGGGTTTCTAGTGACATCTAGAGGGTGGAGGCCAGGGACGGTGCTCAACATTCTACAGTGCACAGGGCGGCCCCTCCCCAGAGGATGGTCTGGCCCCAAATGGCAGTCGTGCTGAGGTAGAGAAGTCCTGGAGTCCGTGCCCCACGATTTCCTCGGGGACAGATGGGGGCACTCCAGGAGGGCTTCCAGTTGGGCTGCATAGAGCCAGCCTAGGACAGGGCACCCCCACTGATCTCTGCTTCTCACCCTGGCCGTAGGCATTGTGGGCAGTGATTATATCAACGCCAACTACGTGGATGGCTACCGGCGGCAGAACGCATACATCGCCACGCAGGGGCCCCTGCCTGAGACCTTCGGTGACTTCTGGCGTATGGTGTGGGAACAGCGCTCGGCTACCATCGTCATGATGACACGGCTAGAAGAGAAATCACGGGTGAGGCCTGGACCCCGCCGCCCCCTAACCCCCAGCCATCCCCGGCCCACACTCACCTCCGTTCTCCTGCCCCGTACAGATTAAGTGTGATCAGTACTGGCCCAACAGGGGCACGGAGACCTACGGCTTCATCCAGGTAACGCTGCTGGACACCATTGAGCTGGCCACGTTCTGTGTGCGGACATTCTCCCTGCACAAGGTAGGGCCCAGGCCCGGTTGGAGGCTGGGGGAGGGGTAATGGGGCAGAGGAGGAAGACAGGACACAGCTTCTGCCCTGGGAGCTCCCCATCAGACAGAGACAACCAAGCATATTGACCCAGGTTGACCACATTCTCGTGAAGCCCACTTTATAGGCGGGGAAACTGAGGTTCAGGGTGGGGCACTCTCGTCTCTGGCCACAGCAGGAAGACAAAACCAGCAGACCCCAACTTAGCAGTGAATCTGTTATCCTCCTGCCATCAGTCACTCCCAGGTGTTACCTGCTCTCTTACCCGCCTGGGCCTTTGACGGGGTCCTGGCAGAGTCTTAAGCCCTGCCCTTAAGGGGCCGTAAGTCTTGGGTGGAACACAGAGCTGGAGACACCCTGCTAGCCTTGGACAGTCAAGGCCAGGACAAAGGTAATCTTTAGGTAAGTGTTTAACTAAAGGCTGCGATCCATAATATTGTTCCATCTGTCTTCTACATCAGTGGTTCTCAATTGCGGCAGTTTGCAATCCAGGAGACGTTTTTTATTGTCATGATGGGGAGAGGAGGTGCTTACTAGCACCATGATGCTCCCGACTCCAGTCAGGTCCTCTTTCAACATTAAGTGCAGGCCTCACCCAAGTGCTCGAAAGCTTGGTAGATGGACAGGAGAAGGGAGTAAGAATTCTTTTTTAAATTTTTTTAATATAGCTTTATTAATTTCAGAGAGAGGAAGGGAGAAGGGGAGAGAGAGAGAGAAATATCAATGATGAGAGAGTCATTGATCGGCTGCCTCCTGCACGCCCCTGACTGGGGATCAAGCCTACAACCTGGGCATGTGCCCTGACCGGGAATCGAACCTTGATCTCCTCGATCCTAGGTTGTTGCTCAACCATGCCTGGCCGGGCAAAAATTCTTAGTTCATTCCCACATATCAAGCACATGTGTGTCAGGCCCTGACCTGGGCACCAGGACACAGCAGGGACTAAGACAGAAAAAATGTCCCAACCTTGAGGGGCTTAGTCTAGTGGACAAGACACAGACAAAAGACAAGAAAATAATAAATTTTTTAAAGTTAAATTTATTAGGGTGGCATTGGTTGATAGTAACTAAAGTTCCAGGTGCCTGTCTTAATAATTTTACACCTATATTCCATTGTGTGCGCACCACCCCCGTGTCCTCCCCCACCCTTTTTCCCTCTGGTAACCACCGTTCTGTTGTCTGTAGCTATGAGTTGGTTCATTTGTCGGTTCTTACCGTTCCTGTTCTTTTCCATCTGACTTATTTCGTTCCATCCACACTATCACAAATGGCAGCATTTCATCTTTCCTTATGGCTGAGTAGTACTCCCGTGGATATATGTACCACATCTTTTTTATTCATTTATCCTTCAGAGGACACGTCAACTGTTTCCATGTCTTGGCCACCATGAGTAATGTTGCAGTGAACATAAGGGGTACATATCTTTACGTGTGTTTTGAAAATTTTTTGAGTCAATACCTATAAGAGGGGTTGCTGGGTCATATGGCAGCTCTATTCATAGTTTTTTGAGGAGCCTCCATACTGTTTTTCCTGGTGCCTGCCCCAGTTTAGTCCCCCACTAGCAGTGAATGAGGGTTCCCTTTTCCCCACACGCTCTCCAACACTTGTAAGTGGTGTCTCTTTGTAGTTCTGATTTGCATTTCCCTGATAGCTAGTGAAGCTGAACATCCTTTCATGTATCTGTTGGCCATCTGTATGTCTTTGAAAAATTGTTCAAGTCCTCTGCCCATATTTTAATCAAATTGTTTCTCTGTTGTTGAGTTGTATTAGTTTTTTATATATTTTGGACATTATTGGAGATACCGCTTGCAAATATCTTCTCCCATTCCGCTGGTTGTCTATTTGTTTTGTTGATGGTTTCTTTTGCTGTGCAGAAGTGTTTTAGTTTGATGCAGTCCCATTCATTTATTTTTTCTTTTACTTCTCTTGCCTTTGGGGGAGGGTGGTCAAGTTCACAAAAACCCCTCTGAGACCAAGGTCCAAAAATGACAAGAAATCTCACATGTAGGGTTAAAATAAAGCTGAGGAGAAGAATAGAATGTGTACTGGGGGACCTGGAGGAAGTGAGGAAGGGAGCCATGAGGAGATGTGGGGAAAGAGCATTTCAGGCAGAGGGCACAGCTAGTGCAAAGGCCCTGGGGCAGGACCATGTCTGGCATGTTGGAAGAACAGTGAGAAGACCACCTGGCTGGGGCTGAGCGATCAGTGGGGAGAGAACAGGGAGGGGATGGGGCAGGTTGTACACGGCCCATGGGCCACAGGGAAGACTTGGGCTTTTACCCCAAGGGAGGTGGGAGCCCCGACTCCTGCTCACAGGTGCTCTCTGGCTGCTCTGGGGGGAACAGACTTTGGGGGTGGCAGCAGGGCAGAGATAACCGTGCAATCTGAGGGCGATGATGGAAGGACCATGGTGACTGCCATGAGGAGCGTGAGAAGTGGGCAGGTTTGGGATAGGTTTTAACGGCAGTGATAGTATTGGCTGATGTGTTGGATGTAGGAAGGCATCCAGTTGAGGGTGACATTTTAAGTCCTGGTCAGAGCACCTGGAGGGATGGAACCACCATCAGCTGAGGCGGGGGAAGCAGGTTTGGGGAGAAAGTGGGGGCACAGTGTAGGCTGCATTGTGTAAGACAGATGAAACTCTCCTGTGGAGACCCCTCTGTGTCCTGGGGGCAGTCGGACACCCGGGTCAGACACTTGGGTACAGTGGTCTGGAGGTGTGCATTGGGTATCCTCTGCACGTGGGTGGTGGGCTGCAGTGATAGGTGGTTTTCCTGTGGTTCCCAGAATGGCTCCAGCGAGAAACGTGAAGTCCGCCAGTTCCAGTTCACAGCGTGGCCAGACCATGGAGTGCCCGAGTACCCCACACCATTCCTGGCTTTCCTACGGAGAGTGAAGACCTGCAATCCCCCAGATGCTGGCCCCATCGTGGTCCACTGCAGGTACGCGTGTCACCATCCCCCACACCCAGCTCCGTCTGCACTCCGTTCTGCATGCCCACCTCATCCCCCTCTCCTGAGGGTCCCCTGATCACCACACCTGTCCCTGCAGCGCTGGGGTGGGCCGCACAGGCTGCTTCATCGTCATTGATGCCATGCTGGAGCGGATCAAGCCGGAGAAGACAGTGGATGTGTATGGTCACGTGACACTCATGCGGTCCCAGCGCAACTACATGGTGCAGACTGAGGACCAGTATAGCTTCATCCATGAGGCTCTGCTGGAGGCTGTGGGCTGTGGCAACACAGAGGTGCCTGCCCGCAGCCTCTATGCCTACATTCAGAAGCTGGCCCAGGTGGAGCCCGGCGAGCATGTCACTGGCATGGAACTCGAGTTCAAGGTGGGAAAGGATGCGGAGGCTGCTGTGGGCGGGAGGGGGAGGGGCTGAGGAGCTGGAGATGGAAGTCACCCTAACGATGGGGACCAGAGCTTAGGGGGTGTTCCTCTACCATTCTACCATTAGCACTCTGGTGGGAAGCTGTTCTGATGGCAGCCCTGCCTCCTTGTCCCCACAGCGGCTGGCCAACTCCAAAGCCCACACATCCCGCTTCATCAGTGCCAATCTGCCTTGTAATAAGTTCAAGAACCGCCTGGTAAACATCATGCCGTACGAGAGCACGCGGGTCTGCCTGCAGCCCATCCGGGGCGTGGAGGGCTCCGACTACATCAACGCCAGCTTTATTGATGGCTACAGGTACCTTACCTTTGCCTGGGGTTACTGGGGCCCCAGAGGGTCCCAGCCTTGTCCCTAAGAGGCCTCCACTCTCACTTGGGAGACAAAACTGCAGAGACATTGCCAGCCCTGTGCAGCATCATTGAGGTGGAAGGAACCTTCGAGTGTAATAACTGATGGCTGCCCCATAGCATGGCTCTTTCTTTCCTTTGATATCACTGGTTCTCAATCTGAGCAATTCTGCCCCCAAGGGAAATTTGGCAATGTCTAGGGACAATTTTGTCATGATTTGAGTGTGTTGGGGGTTGGGGTGGCTACTACTGGCATATAGTGGGTAGAGGCCATGGATTTTGCCCAGAACAGTGCACGTTCACAGAGAGTATCCAGCCTTGAATGTCAGTACTGCTGGTGTTGAAAAACCATGGCCAAGGGAGGTTGTCTGGGCAGAAGGCACGGCCTGTGCAAAGGCCCGGGTGTGAGGGAGAACTTGGCCTGTGCATACAACCGAAAGTACTTTACTGGCACTTGAGGGAGGTGGAGCAAGAAGGCAGGAGAAGTCAGCGGACAATTTTGCGAGCTGGAATGTATCCTGGGGCTAATGGTTTCCCCGTGTGCAAAATGAGATAATTGGGAGGGCTGAATAAGACGGTGAGGGAGATAGGCCACTGGTCGGCCGTCCCCGGGAAGGCAGGCATGTGGCAGGTACGGCTGCCGTGGACTCCTGCTTTGTTCCTGACCCATCAGGCAGCATCAGGCCAGATCTAGGCCTAGGCCTGGGGCTCCCCATCAGCCCTGGACTCACCCCCCTCCCCGCAGGCAGCAGAAGGCTTACATCGCAACGCAGGGGCCACTGGCAGAAACCACAGAGGACTTCTGGCGCATGCTTTGGGAAAACAACTCGACCATTGTGGTGATGCTGACCAAGCTGCGGGAGATGGGCCGGGTACGTGGGGACCGTGGAGGGCAGGGTAGGGGCCTGGTGGGGACTCGGACGGGGCTGACCGCAGATGCCATCCCCTCGATAGGAAAAATGTCACCAGTACTGGCCGGCTGAGCGCTCAGCCCGCTACCAGTACTTTGTGGTGGACCCAATGGCGGAATACAACATGCCACAGTACATCCTGCGGGAATTCAAGGTCACAGACGCCCGGGTGAGTGTGGGGACGATTGGCAGCAGGGACTAGAGCCCAGGCTGGGCTCAGTGCTTCCCTGGTGATCTGGAGAGGGCTTCCCTGGTTGGGGGTAGAAGCAAAGGCCCAGGGATGGGAATAAGCATGGGGGTTTGGGAGGAAAAGGAGTCAGTTGACTAGTTGACCAGTCACTCCTACGACCAAGTGGGTGGAAGAGACCGTGTCCCTGTGCTGACCCCATAGTGTTCCCATTAGAGCATGTATGACCCCACTCACTAGGGCACATGGCCCAAGGGGATCAGGTAAAAGGGAGGGAGGTGTCCCCTGGAAGCAGCAGCCTGTGGAGGAGAGTGTTAGAGGGCTGGGCGCTGGGTGGGGAGAGTTGATGGGTTGATGGTGCTGGAATGGAAAAGGGTGGTGATCAGTGCGAGGTAGGTGGTGGGAATTGTCACCACTCAGTAGGGAGAAATGAAAAGGCGGAGCGGATGTCGTTGGCTGATGAAGACTCAGTGGAGGAGAGCGGGGGGGGGCGGTATTAGATGGCAGCTGATGAAGACTGATCCTGGAAGGTGGCCCAGTTGGGTGAGAGAGGATCAAAGTTAGTGGTAGAAGAGGGGATTGGAGAACACGGGTAGGATGCTGGGGGTTCAGAAAACGCAGTCAAGGTGTTGCCAGGGGCTGGCGAAGCCTGATTGAACGCACAGCATCACTGGTCGTAGTGTTGGGTGGGGTAAGATGGTGCCATTGGATGGGTGGGATGTGGGATTGGAGAATGGAATGTGTGGGTAACACCAGTGGGACATGGTACTGCAGGCCAGCGAGGGCGACTGGTCATCAGCAGTGGGCGGAGGAAGAGGAGATTGGAGAACAGCTGGGGTGTGGGCTGTGAAGAAAATCAATGGAAAACAACTTCTAAAAGGGAAGAGGGATGAGCATTCAGTGGCCGTAGACAGTGCTGTGGACGGTACAAGAGGGAGGGGATGGGACTGGAGAAAGGACATGTAAGTGGTAGGGGCTGGAGACCTTTAGGGTAAGATGGTGTCATTGGGTGGCACCATTTTACTGTAGAGAATGTGACTGGAAAAAGGCAGGTGACAGGTGAAGGAGGTGAGAGAACGTCAGTGGAAGGTCGTCCCCTGGATGGTAAAGAGGGGTGAATCATTAGTGATGGGTTGTGGCAAATGGTGCCATTGAGTCGTGAAGAATGAAAGACGGCAGAGTAAGGACATTGATGGCGCCGCAGGGTGGTGGGAAGACAGGGTTGGGGAGAAGGGTCACTGAGTGGGGGGGTGGAGAAAGTCATTGGAAGGTGACAGCACTGGATGGGCAGGATTGCGAGTCGCCAGTGATGGGTGGTAAGACCGGAGGTGATGGTATTGGTAGTGCTCTTAGGTGATTGATAGAGGATCACAAGCACAATGGTCCCCACTTATCTGTGGGGAATGTCCCAAGACCCACAATGGATGCCTGAAACTGCAGATAGTACTGAGCCTGAATATACTATGTTCTTTCCAATACGTGCCTATTATAATGTTAAATTTATAAACTAGGCACTGTAAGAGGCAAACAACAGTACTGATAAAATAGGACAGTTGCCCTGGCCGATGTGGCTCAGTGGTTAGAGCGTCAGCTCACACAAGGGTCACAGGTTCAATTCCAGGTCACGGACACATACCTGGCAACCAGTCGATGTGTCTTGTCTGTCTCTCCCTCCCTCCCTCTCTCCCTCCCTCCCTCTCTTCCTCCCTCCCTCTCTTCCTCCCCTCTGAAAAAGCAACGGGAAACATCCTCTAGTGAAGATTAACATAAATAAATAAAATAGAACAGTCATGACAATATACTGTAATAAAAGTTACGTGAGTGGCTTTGTGGCCAATATGAAGTAAGATAAGGGTCACTTGAACATGAGCACCGAGATGCCACACAGTCGATCCAATGACCAAGACGGCTTCTAAGCAACTAACAGGCGGGGAGCGTATAAAGCTGGGACACACCAGACAAAGGGGTGACTCGTACCAGGCAGGACGGGGCAGGATGACGTGAGATTTCATCACGCTACTCTCAGTGTCACACCATTTAAAACTTATTAAATGGAAAATTCCAGGAATAAACAATTTTTTATTCTGGACCATGGTTGACTGGGGTTAACTGAAACCATGGAAAGCAAAACCGCAGATGAGGGGTGGGGGGCGCTGCCAAGCGAGAGGTGAGTTAGAGCAGCGGAGGGTGGCGGGGGTGGTAGTGTTGGGCGTCACTCTGGTGGTGGATGGGATTGGAGATGTGGAGAGAGGAGCAGGTGGGCAGCGGGGTGGACAGTATCCATGTAAGATGGTATCATTGGACGGTGACAATAGGAGATGGTGGAGAAGGGTGTTGTTGGCAATGAGACTGGAGCATCTCAGTGGAAGATGGTACCATTGGAGTCATCGGGGTGGATGGGGAAGGGTGGGGGTGATGCTGGCTGGTGATGGAGGATGGGATTGGAAATTGGCAGGGATGGAAAACAGCTGTGACCACCACTGACCTCAGTAGCAAGACTGGGTGCCTCTCCTTTCCAGGATGGCCAGTCCCGGACTGTCCGGCAGTTCCAGTTCACGGACTGGCCGGAACAGGGCGTGCCAAAGTCAGGGGAGGGCTTCATTGACTTCATTGGCCAAGTGCACAAGACCAAGGAACAGTTCGGCCAGGATGGCCCCATCTCCGTCCACTGCAGGTGAGCTGCTTCCCCACCCCAGCTCATTTTCTGGCTGGGGAAACTGAGGCCTAAGGAAGATAACCATGAGCCTCGAGCAATCCAATCTGGGCTATTTTCATGCCTGGGGAAGTGGGGGCTCCAGAGCCCCTGCCCCTGAGCTGCTGTCTACCTCCCACAGTGCCGGCGTGGGCAGGACTGGTGTCTTCATTACGCTCAGCATCGTGCTGGAGCGGATGCGGTACGAAGGTGTGGTGGACATCTTCCAGACTGTGAAGATGCTGCGGACCCAGAGGCCAGCCATGGTGCAGACAGAGGTGAGGCGGCTGGCCTTACAACTCTGTCCCCAGAGCCTTAGTTTTCTCCTCTGTGAGGTGGGCTTGTGAATGGCTGGTCTTCAACACCTCCTGCTTTGAGCAGGAAGATGATTAGCTCCTGACACAAGAGTCGATTGAAGTCCAGAGCTGAGAAGTGTCCCTTGGAATAGACAGAGAGGGGTCCATTCTAGTTCCAGAGTCACAGCAAGTTTATGGCTCAACCAAGACCCTAGTACAGGCCACAGATTCTAAAGTCCCACTGCTCCCCTGAGGGAGAAACTGAGGCCCAGAGTGGGAGGGTCTTCCGTGGGATCGCATTCACATTGGCATTTTAACAATGTCTACAAATACTCTTCTGTCTCTGGAGAGACAAAGCTGGAGTCACAGACTCCTAGCCTGCAGGGGCAGGTGACTGGTGGAGGGGACAGCTGAGCAGCCATGTCTTCAAAGATGTACACGACCTTTAGGAAGAGAGAGGAGAGGGCATTCGGGGTGGAGAGTGGCTGCTCCTGGGCGGCGTCGGAGCGGGAGAGACACTGACAGAGCCCCTATCCCCTCCCCTCCCACAGGACGAGTATCAGTTCTGTTACCAGGCCGCTCTGGAGTACCTGGGAAGCTTTGACCACTATGCAACCTAAAGCCATGGTCACCCCCAGCCCAACTCCACCGGCTCCAGATGCCTCTGCCCAGGCTGGGAGGGCCCCGGGAGGCCTGGACCCCCTGGCGGCAGCATTTCTGCACTGTCTCTGGGAAGACGTGGCCCCTCGAGCCCCCCCATGCGGCCCCCAGCACCTCCCTGGCACCGGCCGCCGCCTTCAAATACTTGCCACATTCCTCGTTTCCTTCCAATTCCAAAATGAGTAATTCTGGGGTGGGGGGTGGGGGTGGTGGTGAGCAAAAAGGGGTTCTCCCCAGAACCAGAGGAGGGCAGGGGCTGTGAAAATGACCCCTTGTTCCCCCAGGGAGCCTTCCAGCCCTGCATTCTGGGGGTGCTGGGCTGGGGGGTGGGGGGCAGAATTCAGCTTTCTTTTCAAACTCCATGTAACTGTATACAGTGACATTTTCTTTTTTTTTTAAATAGCATATTTTTTTCCTTTTTTTTTTAAAGAAGAAACAAACAGACAAAAAAAAAGTGACTTGCAGTTAACGAATTTAAAAAGGAAATCATTGCTTATTCCTGTTCTCGTCACCGTCGGTTTTCCACCGTAGCAAATGTTGCGGTGTGAAGGCTGCGTCCCGGACGCGCTCCGTGGCCCGTGCTGGCTCTTTTCTCTTTCCTGCCATTGGAAGCCGTGCCTCATTCAAGAACAGGACATCCTTTTGCTCCTGGTTTCTTTTTGTTCTTTTTTTTTTTTTCCTTTTTTTTTTTAATGATTAAATTCTCAGACATATCAAGGACAGTTCTGAGGGTGGGGCAGTGGAGGGGTGGGCACTGCCACAGGAGGTGGCAGCAACCTGCCTCCCCTGCAGCCTGAGCCCCCATCACCCGCCCCCGAGGAGGAGGAATGAACAGAACAGATTCCGCCTCTTCGGGGACAGAGGCTGTGTGCCGCCCCAGTTCAGGGAGCCTTTCCCCGTGGACTGTGGGGCAGTTTGGGGGCAAAAGCAGAAAGGACGATATCCCCCACCCCTGAGCAAGTGAGTTTTTCTCTTTGTACAAGAGCAGATCTGCCGTTGCTCTCGACACTGTTTATTCAAACGGAAGCAGCTGGGTGGTTTTCCCACCTCTGTGTATGTAGATATATCGACTTTGTATTAAAGGAAGATCGTCTGAGCCTGGCTGTTGGTGGCTTCTTTGTTGTGCCCGTCAGTCCCATCTTGTCCTGGGGCTGGCAGGGGCCTGGAAAGCTGTGTTCTCATCCCGTCTTGTGACAGTCCATTGTGGGTGGGGCCAAGATAACACAGGGTCTAAGGGTCCACGCTGGGATTTGAACCTAGAACCCGAGTTATTACTGTTTATAGTGTGACTACTATTGAACATCTACCAGGAGCCAGCTCTCTGAGACGGGCGCCATCAGCCCAATTTACAGATGAGGAAACAGGTTCAGAGAGGGGCACTAACCCAAAGTTACAGGCACAGAAGGTTTGAAATGGATCTGGGATTCATATCCTAGCCAGTCTCACCCACAGCCATATTGCCTTCTCCAGAAGGACCAGTGATGGAGCTGAGTCCATGGAAGGAAGCACTGGGTTAGGAGCACTATTCTTATCCAGTGAGTGAGCCCATACTCAGAGCCAGAGTCAGACCCTGGGGGATGGATGGTGAGCCATTTCCTGTTTATACCTTGACTAGGAGCCAGATGTAGGATGAAAGATTCCCCCTTCCATGGTCACACAGAGGCTCCAGGGACCAGAAGGGGTGGTCTTAGGACAGGGGCCCAGCCTAAGAAAGGGTGAGGTCATCCCTTTTAGAAACTGTGAGATCTAGTAGTCAAAAATTCATTTATAGAAGATGTGACTAACACCATTAATAAACTTAGTCAAATAGATTGATCAAATTCTATATTCCCCAACCCCCAAATTCTCAATATATGGACCATTTATAAAAAATCAGCATTTAGAAAAAGCAGCAGTGGACTTTTTTAATTTTTACCCAAGGACATATTTTTATTGATTTTTAGCAAGGGAGGAAGGGAGAGAGAGAGAGAAAAACATCAATGTAAGAGAGAAACAGTGATCGGCTGCCTCCTGCATGCATCCTGATAGAGGATCGAACCCACAACCTAGGCATGTGCCCTGACCGGGAATCCACTGCTCCAACCAACTGAGCCACCCAGCCAGGGCAGTAGTGGACATCTTTATAAGTTCCAAGAAACAATTAGATAAGATAACCTGATCTTGGCACCAAGGAGTAAATTCTGCAATTAAAGTCTGCCTCCCCCAAAAGGCCTAAAGGGGGAAATTTTAAAACACATTTCTAAATAAAGCATGGGTTTAAAGAAAGAATATAAAGAAGTATATTATGTAATGAAACCTTTGGATTGCAGCCAAAGAGATGCCCAGAGGAAAATATATAGGCTTGAACACATGGTTCAGAAAACAATAAATTCAGAAATTTCGAGAATTAAAAAACAAGTGAACCAAGCTTTCAATTCAAATAACTAGAAAGTAATAGAATAAATCCTAATAAAAGAAAAATAAAGATAAAAGTAGAAATTAACTGTAACTGGACATTTTTGAGATTCTTTTGAATTAACAAAAACATTTAGCTCCTGACTTCTGAATTCAATAAGTAAGGGAGAGGGATACTCTTAATGACAGATTGTGGGACAAAACGGACAGAAAAGTCAGACTTACCTAAGCTTGGTCCTAGCTGAATCATCTAAGATGATACTCTGCCCAGAGAACTCCCACTCAGTTCTCAAAGCCCCATTCTAAAAGTCCCTCTGGTCTCCCAAGCCCATGAGTCTGAAGTGTCTAAATAGGATCTACCTTGCCCTCCTTACTGGAAACTGGACAAAGAGGATCTTCAGGGAAAGTTAACATGTGTGACCCCTCAGTTCTGTGGTTCGGCCCTTGAGATGCTCAGGGCTGTGGTTGGGTAGGTGATGGCAGGCAGGGGTTTATCTGAGGGCTTCCTGGAAGAGGAGGACCCTAAGGGATTGTCTTAACCTACAGGCATGACCACCAAGACACTAAATATCTCCAGTTATTTTGTCCCTGCCACAGGATACCATAACATCCACCCCCCATTTATTGACCCCTATTGTATGCCTGCCTCATGTAATCTCAACTCTTCTGACAATAGACAGGTAAGAAAGGCTGTAAGAGTCCAGGTCTCTTACCCAAGATGATGTAAATGGTAAGTAGTAGGACGTGGTGGGCCCAGGTCTGCCCATTTCCCATGGCCATAGCGAGGGAGTTCAGGGCATCTATGAACTCTGCCTGCCCATGGTCAGTATCAGCCACACACACCACAGGCCCAGGCTGGGAAGGATAGCCTAGAGCAGAGCCCCACCTCCTATCACCATGGATCTGTCAGGAGCAAAAGCATTGTAGTGTTAAGTGCAAATGCCCTAAATATACACTTTGTCTCTAAAAACAACACATAAGAATGTTTAAAGCAAAAACACCCACAAGGAGGAATGGAAAAAATCATAGTGGTGCTGGAGGCAACCTAACTCAGGAACAGAAAGACCAAGTCCTCAAAATAAGGATCTTGAGATGAATAATGCAGTAGCAAACTTGATCAAATAGATGTGTACAGGACTATGTCCCCAACAAATAAAGAACATACCTTCTGTCCAAACACAGAGCTATCACAAAAACGGAACATGTATTAGGTCATAAAGGAAAGCTCAACAGTCAGACTTAATAGCCACAATGCAATAAACTTATAAATCAATGACCTCTAGCTCCTGGAATCCACATAATTGGAAGTGTTAAAACAACAAATCATGAATTAAGGATAAATCATGTAAGTTATAAAGTACTTAGAATTGAATGATGAGACCACTGCAAATAAAAACCAGTGGGATGCAACCAAAGATGTATTCAGAGGTAAACTTAAAGTCAACTGCATTTATGGGGGGGAGGAAGATCATGAAGTATAAATGAAATAAGCAGCCAAAGAAGTACTCAGAAGCAAGTAATGTAGCTTTATATGAATTTATGAGGAAAATAACTGAAACCCGTTAAAGCTTTCAACTAAGCATCTACAAAAAGAACAAACGCAAGGTAAGTCAAGGGAAAACATCATTAAGACAATCAGAAATCAATAGATGGGAAACTACGGCAGCAACAATGATATAAAAAGCTGGACCTTTGGGAATACCCATAAAAGAGGCAGGCCTTTAGCAGAAAGACAGAAGGCACAAACGACGTTAGGAATGATGAGACCAACTACTCTTACAGGGGAGAGATTTGAAAGGGCATATATACAAGTTTATACCACTAACCTATAAAAGGATAAAATAGAAAAAAAAATTAAGAACAAATCAAAATTAAGTCATTAAAAAGTGAATAATCTTAGGCATCAAAATGATGGTCAAGGGTCCATCCCTCATACAAAACACCTTCCCAGATGGTTTTTCAGGTGAGTTTTGCCAAATCTTCAAGGAAGAGATGATTTGCATCTTTTATAAACTATGTCAGCTTATAGGGGGAAAGAGAGCGCTCAGATTGTACAAGGACAACCTGGGGTGGGGGCAGCACATCCCACCTATGTGCCTAGTACAGAAAGGCTAAGAAAATAGCCACAATGCAAACCCATCATCTCATTAAAAGGACGGGTGTTATAACAGTAGGGAAGGAGTTATGGCACGCAAGGAGCGGAGGAATTCTAATTTTCCCTTTGCATTCCTTAACTTCAACCAACTGAGCTACGCAGCCAGGGCGAAATATGGCCATTGTAAAACACGACCACAAACTCTTTGGTGCTTCTGTCATTGAGAGGTGGGGTCCACAGCCCCTCCCCTTGAACCTGGCCAGGCTTGTGACTGCCAGGACCTATAGAAGACAGGGCAAGTGGGGCTAAGTGATTCCCAAGGTGAGGTCATAAAAGGCTCTTAGCTTTCTCAGGATGCTCTCTTAGGCCCTTGCCATACTGTGAGGAAGCCGCAGCCACACGGAGGGGCCACATACAGGTGCCCTGGTCTGCAGTCCCAGCTTCCTAGCTGATGCCCCAGACATCACCGAACAGAGATAGGTGTTCCCACCACGCTTGGTCCCAATGACTGACTCACAGGATCAGTGCCCAGGAGCATAACAAAATGCTGCTCACGGCTTGAAATCTGGGACGAAGGGTGTGTGGCAATGGAAACTAGAAGAGAGCGCAAAGATGAGACCAGGGCAAAAGATGACGAAACTTTAGTTCTAATAGTACCATCTGTGTTTTTACGATGGAAAATGGGTTTATGTAGTAATGGTGTGATTAAAAATGAATTTAAAAAATGAAACCCTTTTATCCATTATCAGCTATTAGAGATTTAACTCATCCTGAGCAGAGAACAGCAGTCCACAAAAATGAGGGTACAGTAATCGTGCTATGTGACTCCCCCCAGGGCCTTGTCACTATCATTAAAAAACAACAAAACAGCTCCCACTGATTGAGAGGCAATTGTATTTCACACCGCTGTGATAACATAGTATTGTCACCATTTTGTAGATGAGACAACTGAGGCACAGAGATGTTAAGTAACTTGCCCAAGGTCACACAGCCAGAAAAATGACAGTGCCAAGATTTGAACCTGGGCCTTCTGGTCCCAGAATGTTCACAATATTGAGCAAGCATGTGCCAGGCACTGGATATTCAAGAGTGAACAACATAAACGCCACCTCGACCTTCATGGAGTCTGCTGATGAGTCGGGGAGACAAAACTGTAAACAGGAAGTGGCTGTTTTATTCTGCTGGGTGGAACACAAGGGACCACGGGTACATAGATTAAAGGGTGTCAAGAAAGGCTGCCCAGCAGAGCCAGGTAAATAGGATTTGAAGATTTTAATTTCTTCATGAGGGGAGAGGGGAAATGGTGTGCCTGGAAGAGGCACAGCTCAAGTGAGACCAGTGAGAGAGCCCAGCATCTGGGCATCATGGACATAAGCAAACTCACTGGCCCCTTCATTCAACTCACTTTCATTTATGTGGGCTGTCCCCTCCACAGGACTGTTTTAACGTCCATACAGCTCAGACTAGGGGAGGTGGGGAGCCGGGACCTGGCTTCTGGAGGAGGAAGAGGACTGCTAGCTGTGCCCCAGCTGACACCTGTGGTCCCAGCAATTCTGTTCAGTCCCAACTGGTCGGCTCTTCCACCAAATGAATCTTGGGGAGATGAA